AAAAACACGATTAGTTATAACAAAACCAGTACTTATCTTTTATTGCAGGAGCGTTGATAAGGAGCGGACTGGAACTACACAGGTATGCGAGGAGATCACCAGACAAGGATACAGAGAACGCTCGAAGCGTCTCCACACAACTAACTCCTGTTAGAGTTCAAACATGTACAAACATGGCCACATTCGTCCAATGAGAAGGCGTGGGAGATCAGTTCACTTAACAAATAACAACAGTCTTTCTGCATAACTGATATGCTTAAACTGCTTATGTTTGTCAATCCAAAATACGTCTCTGTTGTTTAAAAAAAATATATATAACTCCATTTTAGTTGTAGGAAGCTTCGACAGGTGTGAGAGAGCCAAGAACTCAATACACCGAGCTTGTATGCGGGCATGAACACAATGTTATCATCATTCTTGAAGCAAATTTATTCAGTGCGCGGAATTACACAGAAGGTACATTCCGGGAAGTAGGAAGGTCGAGAGGCGGAGAAGTGCTGGAGCTCACCCGGTGGGGATACCGCGGGTATATCGGGCTGTGGGGTGTCCTCCGTCATTGCCACCCAGGCCCGGACTGCCGTCAACCCCCGGCGGCGTAGCTCACCGCACCCTCGGGCCGCCAGCAGCTCGCCTGTGGTCAGCGCCACCACGGCCACCTCGGGGATGGCCCATACCTGGCACACACTCCATCAATACACAGTACAATATAGAAATGTGGGTCTGTTTGACCCTTATAGACATCCACATTATTGACGCTTCTTTTACACTTAAAACAAACTTCTAAAATCCTTAGTGCGATGACAAAATATTGGGAGAGCTTGGTTCATCAGTGGTGAACCCTCTCAGCGGTTTCACCAATTTAATCTGGAAGGGTTCACCGCATATATAAGAAATGAAGACATTAAAACACGAATGTTTCTTTTACACATAGAACAAACTTCTACTGTCCTTACTGCGATGGCAAAATATTGGGAGGGCTTGGTTCATCAGTGGTGAACCCTCTCAGCGGTTTCACCAATTTAATCTGGAAGGGTTCACCGCATATATAAGAAATGAAGACATTAAAACACGAATGTTTCTTTTACACATAGAACAAACTTCTACTGTCCTTACTGCGATGGCAAAATATTGGGAGGGCTTGGTTCATCAGTGGTGAACCCTCTCAGAGGTTTCGCCAATTACATCTGGGAGGGTTCACCGTTGATGAGCCAATCGCTCCCAATATTTTTCCGTCGTAGTAAGGATAGTAAACTTTTGTTGTATGTTTATGAGAAACATTCGTGTTTTAATGTTTTCATTGTTTATACATAGGGATAGCGCGTTATATTTAATCCATAATATTGCCTCGGTGAAATGTTAAACCAGGATATAGAGTTAGTTCTGTATAAAATTTCACTGAATTTCAACCTTTAATTATGCAAATTGGCGAACAAAATAACGGAACACTTTGTTTATTTAAGGAGGTTAACCAGAAGGACGGTTCCCAGTTATATTGTTACGGTAGAGAAGACAAGTATTCCAAAAGATTAATTAAAAATAATTTATGAATTAATTAAACCTATATATTGCAAAATGTGCCAAAAGGATTTTTCAAGTGGTAATTTACAAGCATGGTAAGGGGTGATGACTATGCAAATATTTATGATGATAAACAACAGAATATTTAAAATAATTATTCAGTGACAATATGCCGAGAAATTGAGGTTTTTTTTTTTACAGTACTCGGTCCGACGGATGATCAATGGTCTGGAATCAGTCAACGCCCTTCTGCACGGACTGTAGGAACACGTCGTTGTTACGTTGTTATTAGAAGGTCTAATCGTTCCTCTCTCACATTAACGGGAACCTATTGAAGAGGTAGATAGGCTATGTGACATACTGGAGTCTATCGCACTTGCGGCAGTGACAAATTCGAGTATATCGAAACTATTTATGAATTTCTATAAAAGCATAGAAGGCCTCTCCCGTCAAAACTAGACGCTATTTATTGACCGTCGCCGCAAACTAGCGGACGAAGGTCGGTGACAATGCCACAACACCAGCTTTGACAAACTGAGAAACGTCCACCTGGAACCATATTTTCGAGCTAATGGCCCTCGTCAGCCTAGGGAGGACTTTTATCCATGATCTCTCTGGTTCAAATTCACATAAATAGGTACCGCTCAGCAAGAGCAACCTAGTTCATGATAATTGAACATTGAATAATATGTGAAGGTTATTCACATATTAAACAAAATTTAAACGCGGGATTCAATCCCGGTTCATGACTGTCGGGATTTGAGTGGGTTACCCACTCGTCCTTCTTTTATCCATGAAATCCACACGAGATCCAATGGAATCTTCACAATCTGCCAAAGAGGTGTTTAGCTGGCAAAGTGGCTGGGCCAAATATATGGCCAAAATATAGATGTGGATATCATGGAATAAAGTCCGCCCTAGACTGACGAGGGCCATTAGCCCGAAACCATGGTCTCTAGGTGGACGCTTCTCAGTTTGCCAAAGCTGGTGTTGTGGCTTTGTCACCGATCAGAGGCGGCTAGTTTGCGGCGACGGTCAATAAATGGCGTCTAACTTTGACGTTTAATTCGAATGGAGAGATGCCCTATGATTCTATAGACCAATTTCCTCTCGGAATTTTTTTATTTATAAATTTGTTTCTAACACACAAAACACTGCGTAGAAAGACCAACGGGGGCGTGAGAAGGCGGTTGATCTCTAACACAATTATAAAACGTATTCACATAAAGAATAGAGAGACAATAAGATGTGGAACAAAATATTGTGAGAGTAGTGAACTGCTCACAAATAACAAACATTCCTGTATACACACAAACATCTTAAAACTGATCACAGCTACTTGTACTTTATTAACGATACTCAGGTTGAATTAAATATTCCTTTCAACTTAATAATAAAACATGGCGTCACTTGTGATTGTAAACACTTAGCGCAGCACTTGGTCAGTGAGTTCGCGCATGCGTCCCACCAACCAATTGTCAATAGAAATTGTACCATTCTATGTGAGTTGATGCCGACCGACTCGCCGTATAAATGGTAGCTGAAGGTAAACGACATGTGTCACCTAGAGGGCGCTAGGAAGCAGAAAGGGACAATCTCAGCAGGAAAATAACCCGGAACCCATATATGCATGTATGTATAGATAGATAGATATTAAGGCATATATATATATATATATAGTCACGACCGTCCTTCCTCATCGGCCTCTGTCACGGATGCGTGCGCACAGGGAGGTCACGTGCTCACCGGCTCCCTCGAGCCGGATTTGAACCAGCGACCTAAGGATCACCGTTGTAACATCTACAGTCGGGTAAAACACGGGCGTTGCCCGGGTCATTCGGCTAGTTTATTATATTAGGTGCGTAAAATACAAGGTGCCAAATGAGGAACCTCTCCCGACAAAAATGAATTAAACCAACTCATTTAAAGAAAAAGGCATCTCCTGATCGTACAACTAAAATTTGCTTATGGCTTGCGCCATCTGTCGGAATAAATATCAACTATTCGTTGATTTTTAATTATTCCAGTATCGTTTCAACTTAATAATAAAACATGGCGTCACTTCTGATTGTAAACACTTAGCGCAACACTTGGTCAGTTAGTTCGCGCATGCGTCCCACCAACCAATCGTCAGTAGAAATTGTACCATTCTATGTGAGTTAATGCCGACCGACTCGCAGTATAAATGAAAGCTGAAGGTAAACGACATGTGTCACCTAGATGATTAATCAAGAAAAGCTAACCACGTACGTGTTTCGGACTCTTGGCCCTCGTCAGCGTGGTGCAAGCTCTACCTCAATGATAAAAAGAAATTGGTCATCATGAAACGGGTATTTAAGGCCAGAAGTGCGTTAAAACGTATATGAACACCATCCTGCGTCAACTCTATGGTATAAAATCTCACCTCACATATAGCGGCCAGGGTCTCCACCTCGGGGGAGTTGAAGACAAAGTTCACCGTGTCGTTGAGCTGGGACTTGAGGCACTGAACCATCTCGTCTGGGCTCTTGTCTCGGGAAGCGTAGATGACCTGAACATCGAGTTTCCTGCAATGTCGCTCCACATTTTTTTATAATCTGGAGTTCACGAAAGTTATTGGTGTATATTCATTCGGTAGTTTGAAATTGACATTTACAATAGAGAATAATTTTCCACCATATACTGACTAATATTCAATTAAAAAGGCATATATTGGATCAAAATATAGTTTATTTACCAAAGTTGGCTAAAGTTGGCTTTAGTTGGCTAAACACCAACCTTTTTTTATCAAGGTATTATAATTTTTTATGTCAACAACAAACTCAGCGTCACAGTCAGGCGCTGAGTTTGTTGTTGACACATAAATATGTTGTAATACCTTGAAAAAGGTTGGTGTTCAACCAACTGATATCTTGGTGAATAAATTATCTTTTGATCCAATATATGCTTTTTTAATTAATGATCTATTTATGGATTGCCCTATTTTAAAACCTGAGTGATATGTTTATTGGTGCAGTAGAACCTCCCTGTAAAGGACACCTAACTTCAGAGCTAAAGTGTCCTTTAGGGAGAGGTGTTCTCTTACCGGAGAGTTGCTAAATTGTAAAAATGGTAATTTTGCAAATGAAAATTGTCCTTTGTAGAGAGGTGTCCGCTA